GACTGCGCCTGTGCCTGTGGCTGTGTCTGTATCAGCTGCAGTTGCTCGTAGGGCAGTGGTATGGCATTGAATGGCTTGGCCATATTCGGATTCTGTTCTTCGTGCAGGATGCGTTGCTTCTCCTCCTGCTTGGCAATGGTCTCCGTCTCCTTGAGCTTCTCCTCCTGATTGCCATTGAAGTACTGCAGGCAGGAGATGCCCGCACTGATGTGCTCCAGCGAGATGCTGCAACGTTCCGCTGTCGAGGCCAGCAGTGGCGCCGGCTTAGACTTCTTGGCGTGCGACTTGAAGTCTCTGAGAGCATCGCAAATGTGCCTGACGGCCACATTGGCCTTGCCACCGCTCTGCTCGGCGCTTTGATAGTACTTATCGTTGCCATAATCGCTGTCCAGCGGCTCATCGTCGTAATCCTCCTCATCCTCGTCATCATCATCGTACAGCGACTGGGTGTCCGAGTCCAAATCCTCAAACTTGGGCGCCTTGGGATCGATGCCAGCTGGGACATGCAAGTCCGACAGAATGTAGTGCGAGGAGCTGACAATTTGCGGATACTGTTCCTTGGGCAGCAGCTTGATGCAGTTGTCCAGCAGAGCGCGTATGCTGCCCGCCGTCCTGGGGTTGATATGCTGCAGCGTGTTCTTCATGTTGCGTGCCACCGAGTAGAGCAGCATGCCCACGGGCACGGTAAACGGATTCACTTGCTGCTGCGGCGGCGACTCTGACTCATCGGCTGCCTGCGTCTGATTCTGATAGAGCGTGGTCAGGTCGTACAGCTTGACCACATCATCGTTGCGTCCCTTGAACAGCCAGTAGGTGTGGCCGGCCTTCGTGGCATTGGCCTTGAGAAAGGCCAAAATATTCTGGGCCACATTGCGCACCACCTGCGGCGAGAATTGCGAGTTCTCCAGATAGGGCAGATCCTCAGTCTTGATGATTTCGTACTTCTGGACAATGCCATCCAAATGGTAGCACATCACCACCTCTGGGACATTGCACATGAGATTATCCAGCCAATAGTCGATGCCCGTCAGCACATTTATGGGCTGTGCGGCGTCGCGCAGGCGGAGGCTGATGCAGGGTCGATTGGGCCCCCCAAAGATAGGCATATCGGTGCCAATCAACATGCGAATGTCCTCAAAGGTCCATACCACATTGCGGTTGAACGCATGACTGGACGTTGGATCGGGCACATTATCCTCGATCTTTGGCTCTGGCAGCACGGGTCCCGTAATGGGCAATCCCTGGCGTCGGCTGGTCAACTGTGTGGGCGTGGTGTGCACGTCGTACTCGCCTCCGTCGCCCGTTTGCTTCAGGCTGTGATACAGAAATTTGGACAGCAGATTCTTCGTTTGCAGTGCCTCTCGATTGCGCTCCTTGAGGCAGTAGTTGTGCTGCTTGTCGCCAAACGACAGGATGTGCTCCAGGATGAACGTGCGCAGCCATTTCCAGTCATCGTCCGACTTGCGTAGCAAATATTTCTGAATATCGAACTCGTCCAGCAGCAGGGTGTTGCCCACCTTGTGCACCACCATGCTAATGGGACTCTGGGCGCTGTATGGCAGCTTCAGCAGCTGCTTGATGTTCTCCGCATCGGACACCACATCCACCTCGCCCACACAATCGGGGAACATCTGGCCCAGCCGGAAGCTGGCGAAGCCCGCACTCTGGTACAGGGCCTGGTGCAGCCCATGGCTGCTGTGGGATGTTGTCAGCCAGTTCAGGGGCGGATGATTCAGATTCGTGTTGCATTCCAACCGCTTGAAATGGGCCGGCAGCTGGACGGGCGATAATTTTATAACCGCTTGACTTTTCACTGCGTCCAGCTCGTGCGGCCCAATGCTGCGGCAGGGTTCAATCTAACGGGAAATCAAACGTTAATTATTGGTTTTTTAACTGCAGAAAGGTTTACCTCCTCGTTGCTATCTTCCATGCTTGTAGTTTTGCATTTGTTCGCGTGCTAATCGGTAAATTTCTCGTGGAACATTCAAGAAAATTCGACCAAATGTGTTTTGTTTTGCCGGCACATAGACAGCAGAGTTATCGATCAAATATACCAAAATATACCTTCTCATTCAAATATACCGTAAACATACCGTAGTTTTAAATCACATTCCTTGATTTTGATGTTCTATTTCATATTACTAGTTGGCAAAGACTTTTAGCTCGAAAATCAATTTGGCTTAAACCAAATATCCATTTTCATTTGATTGTATACCTTATGATATGATATTTACAAATTTGTATTTGTTTTTGTTTTCCCAGCCCTAAGGGAAAGCCCTACAAACATATCGATGTATCGAACAGCTATTAATATAGCGAGAACAATCAGCTGACTTTCCCTGTGTCATTTACCAACACTGCTATCATTATTTTGTTATTTTCACAAATTATTTCACCAAAATAAAAGATAATCTGACATAAAGCGATGGAACTATTGCCGCTTATAGCCCTACTCAGTCTCATCAACACAATCCTGCCAGATTTCATACGCAACTACGTAAGTCCACCAAAGCAAAGTGCCAGTGCACGTTGTGCCCCAAAGCAGCCGGCGGGCTAAAGGTGTTGCTCTTCTCTTCCCATCCACACAGCTGAAGGTGTCTCGTTTCTGGAAGACCAGCCGGGCGCACACACAACAGTGGCAGTCCGAGATAGATGATGCCCGCGAGGAGCTGGAGAATGTGCGCAATGCCGAACATGCGGGGGAGTACGCCAAGGCCATCAAAATATTGCGTGCGGAGCGGAAGCTCGCCGATGCAGAGGCCAAACTGAAGTCGGCCAGGAGCATGGACGCCTTCAAGGAGATGGGCATCGATACGGTGGCCTATTACGTGTCCAAAGTACTGTTGGCGCTGATCCTGATCGTTGTCAGCATCCTGAATCGCAGCACTCCCGTGATAGTCATCGACCTGGGCATCAGCCTGGCGCCCTTCACCGGCCTCCTTAGTTTTCCCACTGGAGTGTACAATGCCGTTTCCGTGCCCATCTGGGCGTTCTCCTGTAATGTCACTTTTCGCTTGATCTACGATATGATAAAACGCGATGCGTGAGTGTAGTGGATATGCCGTGGAACCAAACTATGTGTTTAAATGCAATTGATATATAGATATAGCACTAGAAGGCGCTCGATACATTAAATTTTTATGTTATGCTTCGTAAAAGACCCGATTTTAACCCTTAAACTCTCAAATAAATGTATTTTCACATAAATTTCGAACTGCGCGCCCTTTGGCCCTAAGCGGTCAACGCTCTTCAGCACTACAACTCAGTGTTACAGTGCTGTGAAACGCCCTGCTGCTTGTTAGCTGTGTGCGTGTCATTTTGCCCCCCGAAACGGATTGTGGATTGTTTTGCGCGAAAATGGACAAAGTAAATGAAAATGTACGCGAAAAGAAGCAAATTAAGCTGGGAGAGATTGACTCGGGCCCCATCCTTATTGCCCTGCTGCTCGGCTTCATCGCTGTGGGTGAGTTGGACACGTGGTTTGCTCTAGACATAATGCTAATTCCAATGCGGTTCACTTGCAGCGATCTTTGTCATTCTGCGACGACGCTCGACCGGCCGCAGGGACTTTCTCCTAACAGGGCTGAGTGAGTCCGGCAAGACTGCTATATTTATGCAGCTGCTGCATGGCAAGTTCCCGGCGACCTTTACGTCCATCAAGGAGAATGTGGGCGACTATCAGGCGGGCGGACACTCATCTGTTCGTCTCGTGGACATACCCGGACACTACCGCGTGCGGGAAAAATGCTTCGATCTGTACAAACACAAGGCCAAGGGCATTGTTTTTGTCGTGGACTCAGTGACGGTGCAAAAGGATATACGGGATGTGACAGAGTAAGTAAAGATGTCTCCCATGAAATATTTCCCTTACTCACCTCACATTCCTTGCAGCAATCTGTACACCATTCTGACGGACAGTGCCACCCAGCCCTGCTCTGTACTGGTGCTGTGCAACAAGCAGGACCAGACGACGGCCAAGAGTTCGCAGGTCATCAAGAGTCTGCTCGAAAAGGAGCTGCATACCGTACGAGACACGCGCAGCCGCAAGCTGCAATCCGTGGGCGATGATGATGTGAACAAGCCCGTGACGCTGGGCAAGCCTGGCAGGGATTTCGAATTTGGCCATATCTCGCAGAATATTCAATTTGTGGAATCATCCGCCAAGGATAAGGAACTGAATACCCTGACCAACTGGATATCTCGCATCATGTGAACACCCCCAGCCCGAGAGAGAGATTAAGAGAGTGGGGACTGAGACCTAACCTTTGAATCCTAAAACAAACGAATGCGGAACAATACCCATAGCAAACAACAACACAACACAATGATATTTATATAAAGTTTAGCTACCCTTTTCTTATATGCTCTCTCAAATCGTATGCCATGCGAGTAATTCCCCTATTATAATGTTAGATATTCCATACTCTTTGGCCATTTTGTTTCGTTCTACTGCTGCCTCGCAAGGGCTATTCTTGGGATTTATACTGAAATATTGTATCGAAGTAAGAAGTACTTAAAATATTGAAATTATGCTGCAAATTATTGGTTATACTGGTCATGTATCCCCACAATCAACAGGGTCGCTGTAGGAATTTGATGTATGTGCACCTGTAAGGCCGCAGATCTACCTATGTTGCCTGCCTCCTGTCCACCCTGTTCAGTCAGACTGGCGCCTTTCCTTAATAATAAACTTGGCATGGAAAACAACATTGAAATTGTCGTACTTCTGAACCAAGTGCAAAAGTGCTTTTCATAAGGAAATAATTATCCAAATAGCTTTAAAATAACAAAATCTGAGGATTACTACCAAGAAAAGATATTCATATGATAATTAATATATAATAATTATAATATATATCGACTAGTTCCATTCGTGGCGCCATTTTTATAAGTTCAGTCGTCTCAAAGCAACCCTGAAACTGAAGGAAGTTGACAAACGCTTTCTGATTTGTAAAATTTGTAACTTTGGAATTTTTTGTACATTGAATTTTGCGTATAAAATGAGCAACTTTGAGCCCACGCGTCACGGTTTGAGTAGTTCCTTCCGTTTGAGCAGCTACGGCAAACTAAATGGATCTGGCTGCAAAGTACCAGAAAGCGTGGTTACGCAGTTATTTGATAGCACCGGTAGCGCCGCCCCTGTCGCAGCCAACACAGGCCGTCGGCAGGAAACGCTTTTGGAGGAGCTGCTGCGTCGAATGTACATCAATACCCGCCCTCCAGGTGCGGGAGTGCACCATCACTTGACCATCGAGTTCCGGTATCCTATCATCGACGATCCCTACGCCATGGGGATGATCATCTGCGCCGAAGCGGTTGGCGATTTCTACGCCATGGGCATCACTGAGTGTGAGGACATGATGTTGCTAATCTGCTTTTCACCTCGGATGACCGCGAGCGAGATCAATGTAGTAGTGCCGCTGATGGAGAAAGGCTTTGAAGAATGCTTCCACGGGACCACGGGCCCGGCAATGAGTTGGTCCGGGCACATGTATAGTAACTGGTTCATGGCTGGCGGTTTGGCCTCTGCCTACTGGTCGAAGCGTCATCAGCTGGAGCGCTGCAACGCTGTGGATGGCGATGTCCTTGTGCTGACCAAGCCCCTTGGCACCCAGGTGGTCATCGATGCCTTTGGTTGTATCGGTCAGCCGGAACGCTGGGAGCGCTACAAGCAGCTGGTCTCCGAGAAGGATGTCCGTGCAGCCTATCAGCAGGCCGTTAAGTCGATGTGTCACCCCAATCGCACGGCGAGTCGTCTCATGCATCTGCACCAGGCCCATGGGGCCATCGCCGTGTCCGGGAAGGGTCTTCTAGCCCATGCCAAGGCGCTGGCTCTGGTCCAAAAGCAGCCAGTGTCGTTTGTCATTCACACTCTGCCGGTGTTCGACAAGATGGCAGCCGTCTGTGGCCGCAACAGCCGCCTGCGTCGGGGTCTCTCTGCTGAGACTTCGGGTGGTCTGCTCATCTGCATGCCACGTGTGGAGGCCGTTTTCTTTTGCAAGTTCCTCGTGGCTGAGGATGACCACCCTGCCTGGATTATCGGCACTGTCCAGAGCGGCAACCGCGAAGCCACCATCAACAAGAATGTTGAAATCATCGAAATACCATCGAAAATACGTATTTAACTTTATTTGTAAGTGATTCAATAAATCGCCTTACGCGTCTTGCGTTCACACTGTTTTTGCACTGGAAGAAAGATTTCCAATGAGTAACAAAATGAGAGCATGAAAATATTACACCCATCTCACTCCCACCAATAGGCATGTGCCCACAGCCACGCACTTTCAATATCACTTTGCAATAGGAGTGGAGCAATTCGAATAGAAGCGTAGAATGTGCAAGCGGTTGGTAAGAGCAAGACCGTAAAGAGAGCATGGAAAGACCATGCACGCGCTCTCTCTCTAATTGCCGCTCTCCCAAAACAAAACGTGCGTGTTTTAAGTCAGCTCCGTGTTTGGAGCCGTGAAAATCCGGGTAAATGGTGAAAATTAAGCGTAAAATAGATCGCGTAGGTGTGCAATGAAGTGCAGCAGTGAATAAATGTGAAAAATGTGTGTTTAAGTGGAAGATAAAGTGCGTGATCAAGTCTACGGCCGGACCAGGATAGCCGGCACTCATTTGCAGATAGAAATGTGCTTAAATATGTGATAGTGCAGTGAATAAAGTGTATTAAATAGTTGATCAAAGTGTAATTATGTTATTTTATGCATTCATAGTTTTTTTTTGTGTCCAAATATCAGCGCAATGTTCTAGATTCCATTGTGTCTCAGTTTTTTTCACGCTTCAAGTGTGTGTGTGTGAGTTTGTGGTGAAATAGTGCAAAAAGTGTGCGTAGTGTTGTCCCTTTCGTACTGCAGCCGCAGGGATGAAGAATAGCGAAAAAGAAATGGAATAAGTGAACGGTTCTTCTGCAAAGTGTCAGTGCACCGATTAAAAGTGGGAAAAAATATTGGATATGTCCCTCTCTCTCGTTCCGTGTGTGGTTTATCCGTCATTATGCGAGTATCGTGGGAGCATGTTGCCTTTGATGGCCTCCCTTTATTTTAATACATCTTGCAGTGCGTGTGTAAAAAGTGGAGAAACGTGCTGATCAATGTGAGAAATGTGAAGAGGGTGGGAGTGTGCAGTACATTGTTTTTGTATTTTTTTGTATTTTTTTTTTTTTGTGTTAACGAACTAAGCCAATAAAAGAAGGTAAGAAATTTAAGACATATTGAGTGGTGGGTGAAATCTACTAAGTTATTAATCCCTCATCGATTCAAAATATTTTCTTATTCAATTCATAAATATTCAAAAAACTATTCTAGACCCCATTTTCCATGTATACATCTTTAACCAAATTAGTGACAATGCCAAAATCAAACTACCAGCTGGGCAGAATATTAGTCCGCGTGTCCGTAGTCCAGTTGGCAGACAAACAGTTTTGAGCAAAGAAGAAGTCCGATCGACTGTAAACTGACCAAATGTTTGGCGCATGCGCAAGCTTTCAAACCTTTTTCGCGATTTGAGACCTTACCTACCTTCCTTCCAGGCAGCAGCCGGAGGAGCAGCTGTCGATCCATGCGACTGACTGACCGACTGGGGCCGGGCCGATCACTCCATCGATCCGACCGGCCAAACATCAAAAAGCCGCCACTCAAAAATCAATGACTAGATAGAGTTTCTAGGCTGCGGCCAAAATTCTAAGAATTTGAAGCTTTTATGATTCGCCGATTTATTTTTTTTGGGGAAGTGACTCTTTGGTGCTTCGCTGGGCGGATGTCCCTGTCCCGCTGTCCATAGTCCACAGTCTCTGTGTGGTGGTGGTGGCAGCTGCCATCGCCAGGTTTAGGAATTGTTTTATGGTCAACGTTGGTGGCACTAACAGCGGATTGATGAGCGGATTTCGAGGAAAACCCGACATTAAAACAAACTTCGAGACGAGCATTCTGAGTGCTCAATGGGTTTTGCCTAATCCCTAAAATATTTTATTGGGTGAACTTTGGCTGAATCGAATATGAACTTGAAGTTTAAACTACCTTTTTGATAGAAATAAATGGAGCGCTGGCATAGGATTAGCTAATTAAAGGTGTTCTCTTATCATATGTGCATGCAATGCTTTCTGAACCTGAAGCCTCGGCTTTATTCTGTCAATTGGTGTACTCTAGCACTTCCTGTCATCGCCAAAAATCAGTTGCGATTCGGTGTCATGTGCATTGAAGCACGTGCTATACCCAAAAAAAAGAACAGAAATGCAAAGTGCAGCCACAGGCGGAGACAGAGACAGCAACAGAGCCAGACTTCTTTTATGGTTCGAAGTTCGAACCATATGTTGCAGACACGCTTTAGCCAAGCGGAAGGAGAGCGTACCAGCGTCCAGCAGTCCTGGTCCCTCCGACTGCTGTGGCGTACACAGTAGCTGCAAATTATTCACGACTGATTAGGCAGAAAAACGCAACAGGCGAATGACGAAAAAATACGATATCCTCGACCAGAGATCCGATTACCGAAATTCGAAAAAAAATAAAATCTCTTTTTGGGGTGCCTCCAAAATTCACTGGAAGGAAGACCAGACATTGAGATTTTTGAGGTTAGGAGGCTCCGAGGATCCGTTCGGATCGGGGTAGATGGTAAAGAATATTGAATTACGAACCGTTAGTGAAAGAAAAGATTGCAACTTTTCAGTGGGCAATAAATCTGCGATTTTTAGAAAGTATTTTCATGCGATTTATGGAGTGGAATCTGTCTGGAGATCTCCGCGGGTCTCTGGGTACTGGGAATCTGCAGGCGTGTGTGCCCCATTATCACCTTATTCTCTGATATGTATTTCTGATATTTTAATAAGTCTGCCCTGCAATTACATGCATCAGTGGGGAGTGTGTTTGGTATGGAGCAGCTGTTGCAAGGCGCCTATTAAATTTTTATGTACACAGGCGCGACGTTTTGTGGGTTTTTCACAGAGTGAGAATGAGAGAGAGAGAGAGGGAGAACGCGGGAGCGGAGGAAGATACTGAGATACAAGTATGCAATTTATTTTAACACATCGTTAAGGCATCGAAAAAAATAAATCTTGACGCGTCGGACACTGCAATTATCACCTCTGCATAATCAAAGCAGACGAACAAGGAGAGCAACGCATGCCCCTGGGGTGGACAGCTCCTCCGACAGCTGGGCCCCAGCTTTCGTTTTCGGAACCGTACATACGTCCGTACTGGCGTAGCAGCCCCCAACCCACGCGGCAGCCCCAAAACCTCTTCTCTCTCTCTCTCTCTGTCCCTCGGTCGATTATAATGGCAGCCCATTTAGCACCTTGTTGACGCGGCATCTAATTAAAGAGGAACCCAAAACCGGGTCTTGGGGTTTGACTTTGGGTTTGGGTTTGGGTATCCCTTTCCAGCTAATATCGAATGCAATTTTCATGTAATGCCAAATTGTAGCGCCTTGTTTTCAGGGCCTATCACGATGCTACGGCTGCGGATGCCTCTGTGGATGCTGCTGCTCTGTCTGATGATGATGATGATGATGGTGATAATGTTGGACACTTGATGCCTGATGCTGTCCTCTTGTCATCTCTTACTCTCTCTGTCTGTGTCTGTGTGTGCTGTCATCGCCCCAGAGATGGCTCTGGGCATCATTCTCTTTCAACAACTTGCAACACTTTCACATCACATCGCATCACACCACATCTTTGGGCCACTCCTTTAAGCCGCTGCATTTATGATTATTTTTGATTTCTGTGTGCATACATCTCTTGATTAATTATAATGCACTATGTGGCGGGCCATACCCCAAGTGGACCCCACATCAGCAACAGCAGCGGCAGCAGCACCAGCAGCTGCGAAATATCTTTGGCAAATTGGAGCTTTTGTTGTGCCATAAACGTTTTCTCATGACACGATGCCAGAGACTGGCCAGAGCTTGGCATCGGTCCATGGATAATTATGGGTTCCGAGTGCGTGCTGCGGCGTAGTAAGTAGCCAGTGGAATCAGTGGATGCCACGCAGAAGCAAATTGTTTGCATTGTCCATGGGAATCCAAGCCCGGGTTTAATGCCAGCCTCCGCGTAAGCTTCAGATACCATATTTGGACTTCAGATTCAGCTTTCATGCTCACCCTCTTCGTGTCAATTGCACATCACGCGCTGTTTCATTAAGTTTATTTTTAAAGGAAATTATATTTAAATGCAATAATTTGTTGCCGGTCTTAAAGGAATTTTCGTTGAGCCTCTTACTTTGTTCACGAAATGGGGCAACCCTCTGCCGGTTTTTAGCGGTAAATTTAGACATTTCAAGGTTGATATTATCCTAAAATGAAAAAGAAAGTTAGTGCAGCTAGGGTACCATTGTACCAATGAAAAAGAATCAGCTGTATGTCAGATGATCATGACTATTTGATTTTCAAAAGATTTTGAATTTTGAAAGTCTCAAAATTTTTACTGCTTGTGCCAATGCTCTTTTCAGTGTATAAAAGCCTATACTCATGATCATCTAGCATATTATGACAGTGCCTACACATCGTATATTACGCATCAACATCCATTCAAAGTTAGGTAGCTGTGGCAACATTCTAAGGTGTAAGCCATAAACAAGTGCTGTCGCTGTCGCTGCTGCTGCTGCTGCTGCCAGTGGCAGTGCCGTCATCTAAATGCAAATTTGCAACAAAATTCACTTAAACGCGAAGGACAGGCCACCAAAAGCGGGCTAAGAGAGGGTAGATACTGTGTGCCATGAATGGGAAGGGGGGAAAGCTCAGCGTTGCGGCACGCTACTGCTATCCGAAGTCTTTTGCCTGCTGGCAAATTAATCAAAGCGCCGAAGGGGGGATGGGGATGCACGAGACATAGCTTGCTTTGGTTCAAATATACATACTGGATGTGCGGACAAAGACGTAGCTAGGCAAAGGGGAGCTTCCCAAAGTGTAGAGTACTTTTACGGCTACGCCACTGCGCCGGCACTATCCACTATCCATGTGCTGTGTTTTTTTTTGTGACGATGTGTTTGTGCAGCGGTCACACTTTTGATTTTCTATAATTTCAGTGTTTTGAAACGAGTCTAAGCCACGTTCCCTCCACCCTTTGCCATTCCCTACGGCCTCCCCGTTCATCGCTCCCCAGCTCTACACTCCCTTGCTCTGCCAGCCAAAAACA